GTGTGGGTGTGGGCGCGCGGGTGTGTACTGTACGTGGATGTGCTGCTTGTGAGCTCTTTTGAGCAGATTGAGTTGTTCTACAATGCCCAGAGTGATCTGTTTATATCTTTTCAGTGTGACCGGCGAGCATCTTTCAGGTTCGTCTCGTTACTTCCTTGTCATCAGTGGTGCTGGTTTCCGAAAGTAGTTAGCCTGGGATTAAGTATAAAACGAGAACATACTCGCACTAGGATTATTGTGTATGTATCTGGCCTCCCTTATAACCATGTCCATTCTAGCTGGTAGTCTTGTCATGAATATGACCTTCAGTCCTTTTGCAAAAATCCGACTCAAATTCAGCTCCACTCGCAATCATGCATGGCACCGATGTCCCCACAAAAACACTCGATAACAGAGCAACCGGATTGATATCAGCCGAAAGTCTCAAATTATTATTTCAGAGGCACGAAATTGGTCCAAGTTCCAAGCTCATCTTACAGCAGCTATGGCCGTCCAGTCATCCCTCTCATCTCTCTCTCTCTCTCTCTCTCTCTCTCTCTCTCTCTCTCTCTCTCTCTCTCTCTCTCTCTCTCTCTCTCTCTCTCTCTCTCTCCCTCTCCCCTCACTTGGATTGCTCATTCTCACTCCGTGAATGCACTCGCTTTCCACTCTCCTACTACCCTGTCAGCTATGGTGGCCATCCTCTTCATTCCTAACCCTAGCTATAGCTATGGTGCTGCTGTGCCAGCTTCTTTCTCAACCTCCCTGACGTGTCCCACCCGTATGGTTGCACAAGCATTCAGCAGGTGTCTATACTACAGTTCCACACGGGCCCTGGTAGGGCCCGCCTGGTAGGTTAGAGGTAGGGCAGGGGGTAGTTGGGTCTGTTTAGGACTAGCAGCCGACCCAGGTTTAGGACTGACGCCGTTTCGGGTCCGATAGGCCGTAGGGTCCGTTTAGGACCAGTACCAGTTAGAGGCCCTGTAGGGCCTGGTTTAGGATACAGGCCCTGGCGCGCGTTTTGGCGCCAGACCCTGGAGGTTCAGAGGCCGCGCCGTTTCAGTTAGGTGTTTGGCCACTGAGGACCAGCCTTAGTTTGGGCACCAGACTTGTGGACAGCAGCTGAGGCCGACCCAGCGCTATATATAGCTGGGTCCAGCCTCAGTCCAGGGCATGGAGTAGAGGCATTGAGTTGATGTACTCTTCAGAAGACATGAGCATAGTAGTAGTCGACGACAGGAGCTGTAGCCTTCCAGTGCCGAGCGCTGATAGGATGTAGGTTAGCGCTGAGGGGAGAGAGAGAGAGAGTGGCGGAGGCCAGGGGATTTACCTGGGGACTTACCTGTGACGCCATCCCTCCAGCTTCGTCTTCAGCATGTCCACACCTGCATCAAGGCGCCACCTTTCGCAGGTCGGTACCTGGTAGAGAGAGAGAGAGAGAGAGAGAGAGAGAGAGAGAGAGAGAGAGAGAGAGAGAGAGAG